ATCACTTGTCCTAGACTAATCAGCTCTGGAAAAAAAAATAATAAAAAAAAAGTCAGTCTGAATACTGTCTCAACCTGGAGCCAAAAAGCCATACCTGATCTAATTAAATTCTCTTACAGAATACAGCTATATGTGCCAGCTATCTCTGAGCTAGGAAAACAACAGCACCAGCATTAGTAATGAGACTCACTGAGCAGGGTAGGCAAGTCCTGACCAACAGGAATCTAGCAGGACAGGAACAAAAGGGAGATGTGATAATAGATTTGAGGATCCTAACATGAGACACTATTTATTTGTTCCCTCTCCTGCCCTACCACACATAGGATTCTTTAAGAAGAGGATAACGTGTGGTACACTGAAATGTTAGAGATGGTATCTTGGCGTACGTGCTGGAACCTAACTGTGACCTGGGGGTCAGCATTACCCAGGGAGGTGTGTCTCACATCTTCAGGAGGAGCAAGGTAGCAAATATATCCAACCACACTTCACAGAAGTCATTTTTGTCATTTTTGCATTCGTATGAGAGAGTTTCAGTCTGCTCAACACAGAGCGTATGCGGATCTATATGTTTGCAGCTCCTGGTACCATAGTAGGAGCATTCTCAAGCTTTAATGAACATGGTGCAACACTGTTGTGATCTGGGCAGGTATAAAGATCACCACTGTAATTTTCAGCATATTGGAAGGTACTCACATTTTTTTTCTTAGGGATGATAACACTATACCTATACTATACTATTTACCACTATAAATTTTGTTCATGATTTTAGCACGCTTGAAGACATCCATAAAATAAGTCTCCACCTGTTGGTTCCACAGGCATCTTAGGTCTACAAATACCATTAGAATGATATTAATGATAGGGACCCAAGAAAAACAAGGCCCTGGGAACAGGACAGGGCAGCTGACTCTCTAACAAGAAGGCAGGTGATAGAGACCTGGCACACCTCCACACCTCCTGGCCAGCACTCCTTGTGAACTGAGGAACAGAAGTATACACATCTACTCAGCATTACATTTCAGTGAGCATGAGAAAGGTAAAAAGCATTTTCAATCTCAGCTTTTCCAAAGTGCCCTAACCAAGCACTCACATCCAGCATGGCAGGATAATGAGAATTTCAAGTTGGCTGCTTGCTTGCCATCTACAAAACGTATGTTTTCAGTGGAAGCTCTAGTGTCCTCAGGAGGCTGGATTTCCAGCTTGTTTCTCACTCTCTGCTGAAGTCATTGCTGCAACAGCTCCTATAGCCTTTTCTGCTCTGAAATCCACAGTGTAGTGATATAGCAGAGAACAAATTCACTGTTCAATCTCATTTCACTCCTGGGTAAACAGAATTTCACTACAATCATAATCTTGAGGTCCCTGGTGCTTATTAACACTGCCTGCATTATTTGTCAGCCCTGGAAAGGGGATCAACCTAGCCCCACAACAGGAGGAAGGAACTAAATACAGAAGGGAAATTAAACTACTCAGAAGCCCTTGTTCTTTGCAATAAAGGCAAAAAGGAAAGATTCTAATTATCTAGCTTATTGCCACAAATAAGCACATTTTTAGTGGTTTTATTTTCAGCATTTTTTCCCAAGAGATGGCATTCAACCATCTGAGAACACAGTCCTCCTTGTGCACAAAATCCAGATGGCATCACCAAATCTCTTTCCAGATGTAGCACTATGAAAACAAATGATTAACTGTTAGAGACACCAAGGTCCTCAAAGTTACATTACCATCTGCACATGTAAACTATTGTTGCAGCAGCCTTGTTCTCTTTTTGTGAAGTTCAACAACCCTACCCTGAGTTTTGGATTTGCCTTGAAACTTACAGCCTGGAAAGGTTTGTCTGGTTTGGGGCACAATTGTCAACACTGTGCATGGCTACACACTGAACACGTCCAGCATGCAGGGGAAAAACAGTCTTGAGAAACACCATCTCATCACTCTATAAACACATCCGTGGTGTGCAACCAAAGCAGCAACATGGTGAGACAGCTTGCATCATTTATCTTCAGACAACCCTGTTACCAAGGGGTACTTTTCAAGACAGATTTATGGAAGGCCAGAAGAGGATGATCTTTGTGATGCACACGTTTTTATGGTTTTAGATTTGGCAGTGAACAACGGGCATTTTTCAAGCAATAACTGCTATCTCACAGGATGAGATGGCTGTTTCTAATGCTGTGAAGTTCAAATCATGACTCCTCTACAAAATGCAAAATTATAGGAAAAGCTCTGCCGTAATGTACGTAGGCTGGAATAACAGTGATTGTTATTTCCCTCTGAAGAAATGCCTGGCACGTTCTATTTTATTTGCTGCCAGTGTAATCAAGTTTCAGCACTTTTGTAATCACGACACTGTATTTAACTTATCAGATGAACTTCGTGCTGGATGCGATTCAAAGGATGAACTCCATGTAATAATTTGTTCTGAAGAAACCCCCAAACCAAAAAAAAAAAACAAAAAAAACAACAACATTTTTTGTTGCAAAGGAAAAACTGCAACAATTTCTGCTGTGTACATTTCAGTATTTGTTTGCTCCTTCCTTTCCTCTGCTCCAGTCTTTCCCTGAGGATGCTTTTTCTTTCTTTCACTTATGATATCAGGCTAATTTCAAGCTGGAAGGCAAGACAAGAATACTGAAATCCAACCCTTTGCTCAGTTGCTACGACTGAAAAGCGAACACTCAGTAGCAGAAAGGTCAAGGAAAATACCTTCCTCATCTTTAATTCTCATTTACACAGACCTCACCAAACAAACAAGGTATGTTTTTCTCCACCCAGGCTGCCAGATGATGACTTTGATGCAGGGAAGAACATCCCCTCAGGCAGTCTTTTATTTCCCTTTTCTTAAAACATATTTGCAAGAAGCAACACGTTAAAAAACAACAACTCAGTTCTCAGTTTCTTCTGTAGTACAGACACCCACGTTTGTGACCCAAGATGACTTGGTTTTAGAGTTGCCAAGGGATGTCAAAGGCCAAGATGCTGCCTGTAGCAGGGATCTGGGAGCAGGGACATGTCTCAGTCTGCTGCTTGCCACTCTGCTCAGCAGCCACAGGCACATCTCCACAAACAAGATCAAAATACCATCATGATTTTAACAGATGAAAATGCTGAAGACATGGTACAACAGTCAGTGTTAGATTAAACACAAATTACCCTTTTGAAGCCAACCAAGAGATGCCACCTGTGCTTTGTATTTGCTGGTCAAGATTTTAAGCCATTTCAGTAAAATATAAAATCATTTCCATGGAAAGTCACTTGTTCAGCATTCTCTTGAGTCACCAGGACTCTTCCAGAGGTTGATCCTGAAGCAAAGATGCCTGCCAGTACTGCAGATGGACAGTGTGCAACAACATCATGTCCCATTCTTTCCTCTAAATGCAACAGCTGCCTTGCTACCTCAATGCAGCAGTGCCTGAGGATGTTCACGTGCTGGCTTCCCTTCTGATAGCACAGAATCATAGAATGGCCTGGGTTAAAAAGGACCACAATGATCATATAGTTTCAACCTCCCTGCTGTGTACAGGGCTGCCAACCACTATACCAGGGAACTAGATCAAGGTAGTGATCCTCCACAGCTAAAATCTGCTTTTAAGTTCAGTAGCATCTCCTGAGAGGCAAATATTTAGTCACATGCAACTCAGGCATGATTCTGATCGTCACAGAGCTACTTGGAGGTTTATGACAACAGCAAAACTCTGCACATAAGGAATGCATAAATTTGTCACAGAATGTGACTAGTCTCATTATGTGCTCTGCAAAGGATGTCTACCTTCTACATGTGCCCACATATCTTTGTGCAGCACTCCTGGTAGGCACTAGACTGCAGCATGGACACCAAGAGTCAGTTAAATACAATATGGAAGCAGGGTTACCATACTCAATCTTGCACTCAAAGTCCCTTCTGAGATATGTAATTTCTAAAGTGGGAAAACAACATTTAGAGTTTTAAAAAAGCAAGCTAGTCAACCAGCCTTTAATTTATTTAAAAACAAATTATCAATATTCCTTAGAAACCAGGTAGGACGCCCTGTTCCTTGTAGCACACTTCAGACAGGTTATTAAACTGGAGTCTCTGCTAATCTTGTCTGGCTCATAACAGCAATACTGCAAAGTGTCAGACTACAGGGCCTAATCACTGCTGTTCCTACCTGTACTGTGATACCTACCTCTAGGACTTCAGGATCCACAAACATAGTACTTACCAGATACCAGGAAACCGCCCAAAGAAAAGGGAATTGGTGTCATCCACACCCTCCTCCCTCCATTCTTGAAGCAAGCAAGCTGAAAGCAACCATCAAGAAGAGTCCTACTGATCCCACTGGGTTACCAGTATCCAACATTCACATAGGCTTTGGGAATCTTTTTTCACTTTCTAATACAACATTACCATGGAGCTTCATCATCTGTGTACAGCAATAGATGCTGCACAAAGGCATCTACCTGCCTTTCATAATAAAACTTGACCCATGTAATAGCATATTTTCACCTGTTTGTTCAGGCAGAGATGCACCCATCCACACATACAGGTGCAAGCATACAGTTTCCAAATCTATTTGCACTACTTTGACAAACACCCAGCACAGTCTAAAACCAAGCACACTATCTAGGCCTGCTGCCTAAGGAGCATGAGTGCAGCAAGATCAGGCACCTCAAAAAAATCTTGAGCTTAATAGATCTAGACTAGGTATTAGAAATTCTTTACTGTGCGGGTGGTGACACACTGGAACAGGTTGCCCAGTGAGGCTGTGAATACCTCCTCCCTGGAAGCATTCAAGGCCAGGCTGGATGTGGCTTTGAACAATCTGGTCTAGTGGGAGATGTCCCTGCCTATAACATGGGGGCTGGAACTAGGTGATCTTGAAGAGCCCTTCTAACACAAACTATTCTATGATTCTCTCAGTGACACCATTCTGAATTAGAAAAAAGGAAACAAGCCTAATCAATGCAAGTGGCAGAATGCAGTTTTCATTTACCAGTCAACAGCACAGAAGACACAGTGGGATTATCTCACATGACATTTTTATTTTCAGGATTAAAAACCCCAATGATATAGATGCAGAATAAAGCAGAAACACAGATGTCAACCCAAGTTTATCTGCAGTTCAAGTGAGGCATCCTGGTATCACAAGACTGAATTGTACAGACTCAAAGCATGAATGGCCAAAAAGAAGAGAAATTGCACAAAATATGAATTGCAAGTAATTCTTCTTCACCTGGCCTCCTTTGCCCCTCCCATTAAGGGTACAAACAAAAAATTTCAATTACAAAATACATTTGACACTGAGCAAAGTTGAAGAGTCAAAATCACTTTGATATGAATGTACTTTTCCTAAGAATTGAGAATACATTACAGCTGAATTTGAGATAGACAGTAAATTATCACAGGTCTACAAAGCATAACAGCAGCACTGTATCACTGAGCATCACAATATGCAAATATCTGTAATATAATTATATAATATAAAATATAATTTGATTCAGCACACAACTAAACTGTGAGTGCTATTCCAGGCCTTACAATTAAGAGCTACAGCTTGTTTACAAGATTAAAGACTTGTAGAAAATGTTTACATGAACATACTTCTTCAGTGAGACTCGCATTCAGAGGACCTGACTTTAAAATGTAAAACAGACTGGTTTAACAATCTAACCCAAAATGCTAGGAAGATTATCATTTATCTACTTAGCATTAAGTAGAATGCTGCATTCTTACCCACATACACATTGTTAGCACAAAATCTACTCACTCTCCAGTGTATGCTTGAGTTCTTCTACCAGCTCAAAGCAAAACAGATCTACTGCACTTACACTAGTGAGAGCAGGTGCAGCATTTCACTACTGCAGGATAGCTTTTCAAACCTGTATTCAAATAAAGCTAACTGGAGTTTGAAAACATTTCAACTGAGCAATATTTGTGTGTTTCAACAAAATGCATGGATGTCCATTTCTCTCGGTCCAATCACAGACTTCTTAAAAGCCAAGAGCTCTTATTTGTAAACTAACTAGTAAATGGAGGCCAGTTCAAATATAGTGAACTCCTACCATAGTGCCTTCTGTCAGCAAATTGAATTGGGACCCTTAGAAAGATCAGCACCCAGTAGGTTTCCACTACTTTTGTCAGTGTATGCTCTGGCTACCAGACAGCAGAAGAACTTCCATTATACACCTAGAAGAGCAAGAAATCATCTTCTCTGCTAAAAGGACTACATCTTGATATAGTATGAAGTTTGAATACAGTTTTGGGTTAGTTCTGGTGTTCACACTGAACCATTCTCCTGCATTCAAAGCAGTCACCACAAATTACATTTCATCCCAAGAAGTGGTCCTCGAGTTTCAAGGATGGGTAACAATATACTTAAGTCCACCTGAAAGTCTTAATGAAAGTGCACATGGACTCTAATAAATATTTCATATTCAAGTAATCATCAAGTCTCACAGGTTCTGTCAACTGACTTTCATATTTAATGTAGTATAAAACAGAATCGCCACAATATTTGAAACAAATACAAAATGAGAACTGCTAATTATACAGTGAACTCTGTATACATAAACTCTGACATGTGAGACAGGTACACAAGGAAAATATTTCCAAGGCTTAACCAGATCAGAGCAACAGATAAGTACCTTGGCAGACACCCTACTTTGAGCCGAAGTCCCTGGTCTAAAAACTTCATTACAGCATGAGTGCCTCCTGACTATCATCCACATATTAACTCAGTACCAACACAGTAGAAAACAGGTGTCAGGAGCAGATGATCCCATTCTTCTCAGTCTTCCCTAAAATGTCAGTTCAGTAGAAATGCTGATTACAAAGAGGCTGATTATCAAAGATTCTCAATCTGACATGTGTCACTGACCACTGCACCCCTAAAACATCCCTCATCAGCACCACCTCCAGCAGTGATTTTCACCATCACAGCAAAGCACCTGCAAGAAACTTGTGTTTTCAAATAAAAAAGCAACAAAAAAGCAAACAAAGAACTACAACTCAGCTCAGCTTCTCCTCACCAAACAACAACAACAACAACAACAACAAAAAACCACAAGCTAAGTGACTGATAGTCTGAAAAATCAAGCTAGTTACAACTCTTAGCTTTCACTTACAAACATATGGTAAGACACTACAACTCCCATGTTTCTGATACTCTTCTCTCTGCTGTTCTCTACCAGGATGTGCACAGAGGTCTGTGAGCCTCAGGTGTGCCTGAGGGCTGCATATGACAGCACTGAGCATGGGCACGCTATCAGTGTGCTCAGCATTCAGCATATGCACACAAGGAAGAGAAGTGACAGCAATGAAACAGCAAATAAAGTAAACAATCTATAACAACATACCATATAAATAATTGCTCAAGAACACATGTTTCAAGTATTTTGCCTCAAGCAGCTATTACTATATGGACTTCTTATCTCCTACATCTACAAAATCATCAAGTACTCAATTACCCACGGAGAGTTTTCAACTGTAACTGTTCAAAATTGAATTCTACTGCTTTGAGAAGATCCAAGTAAAGCTATGAGCATGCTCAACAGATGCAGGTCCGCATCAACCACACAGGTCCCTTAACCTTCTCCTGCACTAATGCCAATCTTTATTTCCCTTAAGGTCACACATGGCCTTGCTGCCTGCTTGCTGATCCACACCTGATCCAGGTGCAGCCCTCTGAGAGCAAGACTCAGCTGAGCTTCTCAGTAGGAGCAGTGCTCACCAGCACTCACCAGACCTGCTCCCCACCGCTGCCACAAACCTGACTAAGCACTGCCACACCTTATGTGTAGGATGCAGATGCAACCCACTGCCTTACTTTCCTCATCCTCATTTCCTTGCCAGGTCACCTCTTCCTTGTCATTTCTATACTGCTGGAAAAATAAGAGTCCACAACTCAAAGCCCAAGTTGGAGAGCAGCTCATTATCACAGTGTGTGAGGGTATCCGAATATGCTGTGGGGCAAAGAGAAATAATCCCATTACACGAGCAGCTTTGCTATGGGATATGATGAGCAACAGGAGAAAGGCAGTTCTTGCTGCTTAGGACAGTTTGGAATTACCCTAAGATCAGTTCTAAACATCAGTACTGTCCAGAGCATCTCCAAGAGATGTCCTGTAGCAGGCCATTGTAGCTGCCAGTCACCAGCTTCTTCCAGAGGAAGTCAAGTTTCTTCACAGAGGCAGAACATCAAGCACTGCTTTAGAACACCACAAGCCTCTTTAAGATGAGTTTCTCCTCCTGCTTTATAATTAATCCTAAAGCTATTTTCCACTTCTTGTCCCTCTGTTAACACTTTTAACACCTCGCACTCTTTTGCTCCGTTTCAAGGGGCTAGAGCCAACAGCAAAGTGAAAAAAAAACAAGTTTGTATTCAAAAATACTTAACCAAAACCCTGAGTTGCAATCATTGTATCTCTATTTAAATAAATAGAACAGAAAGACCAACAACACAGCCATTACTCTGTACACACAATATAAATATTAGGTAAGCCTGAATAAATCTCTTTTGAGGTAGATACATACAGTATAAAACATACTAAAGGTCAAATGCAAACATCATACCTATTACACCTTCTCATCTTGTCTTCTGGCTCTGTAGAGAACACTGCAAACATTTTATTTCTGCCTCATCAGCACCTAATCTAAGTTTTTCTGCTCCAAGATAATTTCTAGCTAGAAGACCACTGGAACAGAATCTGTACATTTAATACTATTATGGAGTTTTGGCCTTGGCCATGCCAGAAGTACATTAACAAGACTCAACTGAAAAAACAGGAATTTTAAATAACTCTGAAAACAAATGATACCAATCAGAACAAGTCCTAAAAGTTTAACCAACAAGATAACAGCAATAGAAATCTGCTGCGTAGCTGTCAAACAAAATTTTAAACTAGAAAGTTGAGCTTCATTTCCCTGAGACTGCTTTATTTACTTGGCCCTGCCTCACTAAAGCTCAACAGAAAAAAGACTGAAAGACAGAACCTCCCCAGCCCCCAAGGAAAAAAGATTCAACTTAATTCAGTTTAGAAGAAATGCAAAGAACTCAAACAAAAACCCATGCAACAAGTAGATAAGATAAATCAGACCACAGCCTGCTCAGAACTTGGCCAAGGTTCACATGGAAGGCTTGCAAACCTTTAGATAAAGTCCTGAGGTCAGAGTTGTGACAAACAAAATGGTTTGGGATTTTTCTGTGCTGTCACATCACAGTGGCAGACACAGAATAAGATAAATAATAAATCCAGAGACATTTTTCTTTTGAATAGAATACCCATAAAGATGATTCATTCTCTTATGAATAGATTAATACAAGTTAATAATCACTGAATAATTAATGCACCAACAGCTGGTTTAGGAAGACAACCAAGCAGTATCTGCTCACCAGTCATTTGTGTTGTTCTTTAAACCAAGATAAACAGATCACAGGGCCACTGTTGGCTCATCAATTACGTGCTCAGAAATATCAATGTGATGTCTTTGGCTCAAGCACACAGTCATGTTTGTTGTGCATCAACAAAAATGACTGACTACACTCAGCACTGATGCCTGCTAGCCCTTGTGAGTACATCTTACTCTGTCACAAGTGGGTAAAGGCAAGGAAATTCCTTCCACATAGCTGTGGGAGTTCTGACTGCAAGCATAGCATTTGAGTCCAGTTTTGGAATTCACCGTCACACTGTAAAACTCAGATCCAGTACTCAGATCTCAGTTTTGAGCAGTCTTTAAAAGTACTGTTTTGAATACCACACAATTCCCAGTTAGCCAGCCTCCTTCCATAGGTCCTTTCATAGAAGGACTATCTGGGTGAGAGACTTTTGCCACAAAACTGGGTGAATAAAAAAAGTGACCAGCAAATCAAAGAAAGGTCACTGTTTTCTCTTCTGTTTAACTGTCTCACAACAAGAATTCAGAATTGAGAGTTACAATACTGATAATTTAAGGACTGGAATATTCTCCAAATTAGTGTCAAAGGACAGATATATTAAAACACTGCCACAGTAAAGAACTGAAGTAAAATATTTACTTTAGTTTGGAATTTAGAAAGAGAGTTTGGACAGTAAAGAGGCAGTATGTGCCATGTCTTCGCATCTGGGGGCCAAAGAATACTTAAGATATTAGGAGTGTAGCAACTGTTTCTCCCTGAACAACAGGGCTATCAGTTGTTTTATTTCTCCCCTCCCCAGTTAAGTCAGAGGTAGTGTCTAAAACAGCGTGATGAATACAAGAGCAGCATCCAGTGAGATCAGCTATGCCTGATGTGGCCAAAAACAAAAGAGTGTTGGCTGTAATAGTAAAACTGCTACAAAGAGATCAACAATGATTCCTGATTTGACTCCTTGAGTTGAACAAAAAAAAAAAAAAAAAAATAGGACACTGTGAGACACAGTGAGCCTACTCACCAAGGAGATATGTACAGTAATTGGGTACATCTACTTCAGAGGCCAGCCTCTTGTTGGCAGGCAGACAACACTGTGTGCTGCAGCAGATGTGTGCATAACTTAGTCAAACATGTAACCACAAAAAGATATGCAGCAGCATTCAGCTGGTACTCTGTGTTCCACTCCGATCCACAGAGCCCTAGGAGAAAAGAACCTTCTGCATACAATTTAATTTTTAAACCACATTTCCTCTAGAAAACTTTGTTTTAAATTAAATGATTACAGTAGGTTTCACTTAAAAGTTTAGCATAGTTGAAAGATCTTCACTGATAAGCACAAGTGGGACACAGCATTCAGGATTTACTTGAAGAATCATCCTCTTCTAGAAGGAGGTCATTTAATGCAATAACTGTAGCAGCAAAATCAACCAGCTCCACAAAGTCAGATGTAATTATGTTAACACCCATAACACCTGGTTTCTGTGCTTTCACCCAATTCAAAATCATGGGCAGGTTCCTAGACAAAAGAGAAAGAAAGAAAATTAAACATTTAAGATATTCTCCTCTACAGGTATTCTGCTTATTTCAAAGAGAGCATGCTGCTTGCTAATTATGTTCTTGTCTGTGATCAGGTCCCAGCTGCCATCGAAAAATGCAACCAGAGTGAAAAGAAAACTGCTTAACATAGCAAGCAGCTGTAAGCTGCCAAATGGGAACATTGGTCAGTCAAACCCAACTAACAGGTACACAAAATGGAATCTGGAAAAAAAGAAATCAATTTTTCACCTACAAGATTGTGCTTCAGGATAAAATGCTGCATTAGATTGGTTTTCATCCTGGCTCAGTTTTGAACAAGTACATGTTGAACCAAAACCTTCACATCTCAGATTGGCACAGAACAAAGCTCCATCTGGCACAAGAAGTCTTTGTGCCCACCTCCCCCTTAGGGCAGGCAGGAAAGACAGTTGTGGGCAGCACATGTGGCACTTCTGCCAAACACCTTACATCCACTCAGAGCAACGGCAGGAGGGAAACCCGAGTTGGATCCAGCCCTCAGCACTGTGAGGTCTCAGCATCCCACCATACACTGCTGTAACTAGAGAACGGCAAGGTGTGCCAGGAATTGTTTCAGCTCTCAGTGGGAAGAAGTTTCAGTCATTTCTTGTGCAGACTCCTGACTTGCTGTCTGTCCAAGTTCTTTTGAAGTTCGGTATGCAAGTCTCAGTTTTCAGCACAGAGAAAAATAACTAAATGCATTAGAATTAATTCATGCCACAGAATGCATATATTCAAAGAGAAGATAGCAGACAGATTGGCTAACAGGACAGGGAGGAAAAAAACCCATGAAGATCTTCCACAGCTCTTGCTCCAGAAAAAGAAACTTGTCAAGAAAAAGAGGGAGAAGTAGAAGTGCTGTTCATACCAAGAGGAGACAAACTTTAGTCAGCTGAGCGTGAACACTGTACATTTCTCCTCCAACAGGAACTCAGAATGCTGAAATATTCATGCTCAGGGCAGAATTTCCATACAAGAAAGCAGACATAACTGCAGAGACAGATTTGTTCCTGCAGATCAGCTAGCGTGTGTAAATGTACAGGAGCAATCATGCTTTAGCAAACAGTGGCCTCTGTTCTAGGTTTTCACAGTTCCAACAGATAATACTAATGATGGGATGGGACAGAAGGAAGTTGAGCAGGGTTTACAGCCTCTCAGTGGCTAAAAATCCAGGCCTGTACCAGAAATTACTTGAAACAATACTACTTGTTTATTCCATTTCTCTTATTATTCTTCACTAGTTTGAAAACTGAAATTCAGCATCATCTTGCTAACTTTAACGACAAGAGTACATAAAGTATACACTATAGAGATATAAGTTAGATCTGTGCTCCCTGTTAAGCATCCCTACCAACCATACATATTTACATTTGTGCAACTTGCGGCATTAAGCACCAGTCCTAAAGCACCTGAGCACCATCTAGTGTTTGACGTTGATCACACATCAGGAAAGGCAAAGGGCAAGCCCGAAGAGGATACCTGACTACATTCTCAGACACGTTTTGCATTTAATGATCTCTTACCCAATGCCCCTAAACTTACACAATTTACACTTCACCTGGAATTTCTACATTTCTACAGGCAACTTCTGTGATTGCTGAACTACAGCACTTGCTCTTTTTAGAAAGGCTTTTAAAGAAAAATAAGTTACACTGACTTTTGATTCAAAATTATACTTATTATAAGATGACTAATGATTCTCTCAAGAAGTAAACACAAGCCAGCTGCTACAGACGTTTATCTCACTGCTTAACATTAAGAACAGTTGTGGAGATCATCACAGTGAGAGTCACAGAGCCAATTAAGGCAGCTGTGCCTAACTACACAAGTTAATTAAGAATTTTAAAAATGTTATAGCCAGACAATCTCTCAGTGACATCAAAACAGACAAACAATAAGCCAGGAGACTGAGTTCTACCAGGACTGTTAGAGTTTTGGTGATTTTTGGCAAACAAGTCCATGTTTCATGAGATCACACTCCAAGAGCTCCAATTACCAGAAAACACACTTATAATATCCACCCCATTACTTCTCTACTCTCAATAATTACTGATTTTTAATGATTGCAAGTATCTCAACCCAGCAACAGCAATGAAGTAGGACTGCATGCTTCCTAAAAGGTCAGTCAGCAAGTCTTACTTTTGGGCAAACATTACAGTTTCTTGCTTACTCAGTGCCATTTCAACATGAAACACTTCAAGAACTGAGAAATCAAGACATGTCCTTACCTATGAACAAGTGTGTTCTTCAGACCACGGACCAGATGCCGTGCGATAGTTTTTACTCGAGGAGTGAGAATTGCTTGAGAAACATGAAAAGTCCCATAACGACTTCGTTCCTCAAGAGTGGTTTCCAGGAACTGTAAGAGCTTGTGCACATTGGTTGTATTAGCCCACGGTGCTGGCATTTTATTCCCTGGCCAAAGAAAGGGAAATTCTCGATACAACGGGTAGTGGTAGAAAATAAGAACCTAGCAGAAACAAGAAAAAGGAGATTACAGTTATTAACTACTCTGTTTAGAAACAGGATGGAGTACTGGCTTATGCATTACTCCTGGAGCTAGCAAAGCAGTGAGAAAGCGAAGAAATTACTCCTGAGTCATGACTGTCAATAAATTTACTAACATAGATGTGAGGACAGGATTGCTTCAGGCTTTAAGGGTCATCAGTTTAAAAAATGAAAGAATGGCCAGAAGCATAGTGAGATGACAATTCTAAGCAGTCTGCTTAAAAAGCACTTCAGAGCACTGTCAGAATATAACCAGTGAAGTTAAGATTTTAGCTATCTTGACACCTCCTACGCTTCTGTTAAATGGCTGAAACACACTGGGCTATCCAGCATTTTAATAACATTCAGTGAGAGGAGAGTGAAATGCCGTTGAAGTCAATCTCATTTTCAGCAAAACCTCCTCTGAATCAGAAATCAGCATTTTATGCCTTGTAAGGTGGTTCTTTGTAAGAGGGTAGTACAAAGAACAGCCCAGGTTGGAAGGGACCTCAAGGATCATGAATCTCCAACCCCCCTGCCACAGGCAGGGCACTAATAGTACCAGTTCAGAGAAATCCTCAAAATCTCATTTAACTTGTAGTTTAAGAATTAAGTGCAGTCACTGAAATCCTGTTCTCTCGGTCTGTCTCTCTCTGTGGGCAAGAGGGATTTAGTCCTGCCACCATAAATGTGAATGGCTGTAAAGGAGCTAGAAGTTCCATAGCTTCCCTTAGTCATGATGGACCATACATACTTTACATACACCAAAATGATGACATTTTATCATATCCTCAAAAGAAGTTAGCATAACATGCTCTCTCAGAAGAGAACAACATTAGTAAGGAACACAATCCTGAGAATACTGTCATCTAATTATTTAATGAGTCCCTAGCAAGCTTATATTAGCTATCAGCAGTGTCCCTAGGCCAATACTTCAGAGTGAATTCTACCCAGCTTATCTATTTAAGTCTGAATCTTTCGAGCGTGAAAAAAAAAAATTATGGATCATCCTTCCCCCACCTGATGCTTCTTTTCCCACATGTACTGTAACGTCACATATTCTACACACTCAACACAACAAAGTTTGGATCCAAATGCCGAGCGAATCCTATTGATCAAGAAGAAGTGATGGCTGTCATCCATGGCATAGAAGTGATTGAAATCCAAGAAGATGACTTCTTTGGGGTGTTGCTCAAGAAAGGTATTAATCTCCATTAGTCCATCCCATACTTTGATGCCAAACAATCCATGTATGAAGTAAATCTCCTGTCCTATTTCCCCAGGCTTGGAAGACACACGGAGATCAAAATAGCGGATTCCACCTTCCAATTGCTCTTTGAAAGTCAGATTTTGAGTTACTGACCATTTCTTCATTATCTTTTTAACCAAAGAAATTCTGGCCAAGCGTTTGATGGCAGTGGCTTGGTCTGGTCCCACAGGAGATTTCTCATCCACCCAGTAGCTGAAAGAATCATGTGATCCTACAAAATAAAGCCAAGGATAATTAGTTTTCCAAGAACTTGAACTCTCCTCAGCACACACAGCCCTGTAAAATAAAAAAGGCCATACATGCATAGCAGGGCCAGAAAAGAGTTGCACTCAACTCTTTCAGACAATCCTTTTATACTTCATTTTCCCTTTTTTCCCCCTCAACTGTACAGGCATAAGGAAAAACTTTTACAGAGGGCAGTCAGACACTGGAATAGCCTGCCCAGGGAGGTGATGGAGCTGCTGTTCCTGGCAGTGTTCAAGAGGTGTCTGGATGAGGAGCTAAGACATATGGGTTAGAGGCTTGTGATAGCAATGGTAATGAGAAGATGATTGGACTAGATGACCTTGTAGGTCTTTTCCAACTTTGTGGTTCTATGACCCTATGAAAGTACAGAAAGTAGAGTTTGAGCTGTGTTCTTGCGCGAATATCAAAGCACTACAAAAATTATAACCACAAGGAAAATACCAGTGGTAAAGGAAACTTCCATCCTAACTCCTTTCTCCATCTATAAGCTGTCAAGCAACCTCCAAAGATCACCTAGAGTCTGATGGATCACTGGTTTAAGATGGGACACCAATTTCACTGAAAGAAAAAAATCACAGATTTAATTTTCATTCTACCTCATAAATTCAATCATGATGTATTTCGAAGTTTCCAAAACAGATATTTTCATTCATGTGATAGACAGAGGGATGTTAACATGCACATACTTCACTAGAATGCTTCACTCTAGCCCCAAAATGGTAAACATGATCAGTAGTTTGGAGAGTGGCTTAAGACTGGCTGAACTCACAGGTAAAACAATTAAATTCAAGGTAACGCTGATTAAGCCTGAGATTTTCTTTCAATCAAGTTGTAGTCTCATGTTAAACTCATGATAGATACTGCTGAACAAACTCAGCTATTTCTCTTCAATCTAGCAGTGACTTGCTGCAGCCTCAAATACAAAAATACAGAGTTAATCCAAAGGAAGACCCACAGTCAAAACTATCAGCACAAGCTCCTTGAATGTAACATGCACCTTGGCAAAGAAATTGCAGCTGCAGTGGGAATTTCTGCTTACTAGAAGAAGTACTCTGCAATCCAATACACATTTTAAAAAGCCTCAGAAGTAATAAACTCCAAAATAAAAGTTTGCAAGACAAAAGAAATATCCCTAGCTGAGGCAAGTCAGTGAAGAGCTATCATTGAACAGTGAAATCTCTTCCCTTGATACCGGGACAGTCAGAAGCTAAAGATGGGCAGATGCTGACCTAACACAGACAGGATTTCTAAGCATTTCCAACTATTTATATCAGTCACCTGCATTCTGGCCAATTAGCTGCAATTTCTCTTCAAAACTCCATCTAGAAAGTATAATAGAAGCTCTAAACATTTCTGCTTTCCTGTTTATTTTCAGGACAGAAGCTTTTCCATAGAGACAAACCCCACCTGCATCCTGCAAATCCAGAGCTGAAGTACAGGGAAGGGATCTTCAACCCCTGCTCACCGTAAGAAGCTCTTCCTCCAGCTGTCTGAGGGCTGCCATACCTCACTGCCTGCATCTGCCTCTACCATTACTGCATGGCCCAGTTTCACCTTCTCCTCACTCCTATGGCTTTAGTGTTCCAGAACTTTCTTCTCTACCTCACTCTGCAATTCCTTGAAGAAATCCTAATGGAAATTTTAGATTAAGACAACAGTTGAGTCTACAACCCCCCTTTATCCAAGCCTTGTGTACAAGCACTTACCTGAAGGCTCATGCATTTCTTGCCATGCAAGGTCTGAGGTGTAATTAAGATTACGATCTCAACTGGATTACCTTGTCAGGGTTTTTTAATCCAAACAGAAGGAAAGATCAAGCGGTGGTACACAACAAGCTTAAACGTTCTTTTCTTTGCACAAACTTTAGTTTGAAAGTTCTGAAAAGGAAAGTTTTGTTTCCAGTTTTGTTTTGTCTATAAAAGAATATTTAAATAATTCCTGATCGACTCCTCATCTATCCTTCTTGGTCTTTGCAAAAGCATGCCTCTTATGTGGCTTTCCCTTCAGTCGTGAGGAAGAACAAGTGACAAGTAACAAAAAGCTGTTTTTAAAAGCTGTCACAATAAACCACATCAAGCAGCAGCTGTCAGCTTGGGATTGCTTCTTCCACCCCCAAATATGTTAACCAGAACAAATACAGCTTCACTAATACAGGACTAAACATCTAATGAAGACATTTCAGAAGGTGCCGTACAAAGCCTTGCTCATAAAGGAAGCTGCAATTCACAGACGCTGAAGTTTCACACACCTCATGAAGTACAATGAGTCTTTCAGTCCTCTATGATATTTGTAAAGCAGACTCCATTTGCACAGGGATTGTCTTCTGTCCCTTAGTAAGTCACTTGGTAATTTTATTTATTTATTTCTAAGTTCTCAGTTCATTTCAACTTCTTCCTTTAAGTCTCTGTTAGAATAAAGCCATCAGAAACATTTTCTGTTAATTATAACCAAGACTGTACAAAGAAGTCTGTCCATAGAAGTCACTTGCTGCTATGGCCTCTCACACAGTGACACTGATACATGACTTCGGAATGAACAGAATTACAGTTTTATCTGGCATCAAATATATGGTTGTCAACATTGAAGGATTTGTCTACACAAATCCAAGCCAAGAAACAGTTTGTTTTCTTAAGTCTGATAATATATTTCACAGCTACAGAAGCTTCTTTCCATTGCAGATGGCCATATTTAAAGCACAGGGAGAGGTATAAAACAGCAATTTTCTCCTTGCAGTATTGCAGAACAACTTCTATTTAGAGCTGTAGAAAACAACAAAGAAGCTAAATGCACAGTGCAGCTTTTTCAACACATACTTTAAGAACTGGGCTCCTCCACAGGGCAGCTATTTAAGGAACTCGAACTGTGTGACATGCTTCTAGCTAGAGAAGATGCTTTAAAATCCTGCATTCATCAACCGAAGAATCTCAGAAGTGAGACTTCTCATTTACAATGCAATCAACACATATGCAGAATCAAGTAGAATGTGCACTAGAGAATCTGAAAAACAAGCTCTCTGTTTCATAGGAGGACTACCTCCCTTACAGTGCAGGGTAGTATCACCTGTACTGAGGACAGTTAAGACACAGCAGGAGTGCAACCACATTCCTCAGTGCCATTTACAGAAGGCCAGCCACCAACTGTGAGAAGTATCCAGGCCATGTCTGACTGCTTTTAGTTCAATAAGAAAAAAGTGAACCAAAAACCCGAAGCAACATTACTGGGGATGCTGGGATGAGAGGTAAGAGACAGGTGAGCATTCACATCATCCACCAAGCCCTTCTCTGATTTAAGATCACTGCGCTACGTTCCCAGCTCAGCTACTGACCTTTAATATAGCTTAGCTGTGATGTTAAACTACATGCTAAGCTGATTGAATCATGATGTCAAATGAATCCCTTGCTCTCCTTTCTACACCTGAGCCCCATGGAAGACCCAATCATTCTGCAGCAATTGTGTGAGCCAGGCTGGTTCCTGATTGAGCATTACATAATCACATATAGTATCAGCAAAGGGAATGGCAGTCACTGACCAGAGCAAAAAGAAAAAAAAAAAAACCACCACAAAACCTCTCATTGTGGCAGAGTTCTGTGCATGAGAAACCCTCTTCAGTCTGTGGTTCCAACCAAGCAGTGTGCACCTCTTCAAGTTACACAGACCCTTTTCTCTAGAAAGCTCACATCAGCAAAACACTTCAGATGATAGTCAAAATCTTAAATATAAATTACACCCTGTTACTGACTCAAATATTTTCCTTATACCTGCTGATTGTGAACACAGCAATCTCAGTCTGCAATTGAAAAGTAAGAAAGCACAGCAGAGCCAAGAAGCCAGTCCGGAATTGTCCTTTAGGGGAAGAGAGGCCAGATGCCCTATTCCAAATTACATCAAGGGCATGTTCTTGCACATGCTGCATACTGACATGATTCAAGAGGAATCACTGCATGTGACAATGGATAAGTGTTCAGATTGCAGCATCTCAGGAAGGGTTGCAGTGACAAGTATCAATGCTGCACTCACACCTTCCAGAAACCCATACCATACAGAAACAAGCTTAAGAAAGAAAGAGCCTGTATATTCAGAAGAAAAAAAAAAAAGAAATAAAAACTTCTGGCAGCTCTTACAACACATTAAGAGATGATGGCTACTCTGCTTTAGTTTCATATCTTTCATCTCATAAAGATGGGAAGGTTCAAGTATTAAGAGGCATCTCAGACACCAAATTGCTAAAATGACGGATGGCCTTCTTAATTTTATCCTAGCAAGTGCCACTGTGGATTAACTTTCATATCTTTAAACTCCTTTTTATTCTCATTACACTAATTTCCCAAGTTAGTTGTATGTTAAATAGATCGCTACTCAATTCAATTTGTATGTTAAATAGATTGCATTTCAGTGTTCAGGGTGGCTTTTTTTTTTTTTTTTGCTGAAGTGTTTGCACTAATTGTTAGGAAGCAGCCTTTTATTAGCACATCTGCAGCAAAGTCTTAACTTTCCAGCATCTCTATTTGTCATGCTACTTGGTCACAGATAGCCTAATTAACCCACGGTGTAGCTCAAACAATGACATTAATCAACACGACGTTATTAAGCCTTCATTTCAACAATTACTGGTTGTATCTCTTTGCATGTTCTTCTTTTATTTCCACATCACTTTGTCTCCATGCACAGATGCAGTACAGGGAAAGGAATCAGCATCACCTTACAAACTCACGACTTGCAAATACGCCTTCAAGGGATTTTTGAAATATGAGTACAGCACACAAAACACAGATCTTCCATAAAGGATCATACTATGTGCATGCTGCCAATTACTTGAAAACAAGACAAACTTTTTTGTTTTAATACAAGCAGTTGAATCAGTAGTTCCCCTGGTTCCAAGGCTGGGGACTAGCCAGATGCAGCAGGTAAAGAAACCTGCAAAAAGCTGGCTAGCCAAGAAACAATAATGAAAGCAAAAGGACAGGA